ACACCGTCACATGACCCGGACACCATCAAAACATAACCGGCACACCGTCAAAACATGACCAGGACACCATCACAACAGGACCGGGACACCATCAAAACATGACCGGGACACCGTCACAACACGACGGGGACACCATCAAAACATGACCGGGACACCATCACAACATGACCGGGACACCATCAAAACAGGACCGGGACACCATCACAACATGACTGGGACACAATCAAAACATGATCAGGACACCATCACAACATGACCGCGCCACCATCACATGACCGGGACACCATCAAAACACGACCGGGACACCATCAAAACATGACTGGGACACAATCAAAACATGATCGGGACACCATCACAACATGACCGCGCCACCATCACATGATCGGGACACCATCAAAACATGACCGGGACACCATCACAACACGACCGGGACACCATCAAAACATGACCGGGACACCATCAAAACACGACCGGGACACCATCACAACATGACTGGGTCACAATCAAAACATGATCGGGACACCATCAAAACATGACCGGGACACCAGCATCACATGACCCGGACGCCATGAAAACATGACCGGGACACCATCCGCCCACCAGCTCTGACGGTGACCCGACGGCGCCCGTCCGCCTATTAGTTTTGGAAGACCCCATAGCATGGCTATTGGGGAATTATCATCCGATTTGTTGAAGATCGACCAATTCAACTGATTTACCAACTTTTCTTTTGGGACAGCAGTGTCCTTGAATATCAATGAAGCTTGTCTCTCACATGGAGACGCGGAGACCCTGCAACCGATTGACTGGTTGGTTCCTGGAACTAGTGACACCAAGCAACCTGGCAACAACCTTGGGACCCGCATGCCTCAGAAATCCCTACGTACCACCACACAAACCATGCCCTTATAGTGCCCTTCTTTGCAATACTATCCCGGCGCGACTGTCCGGAACATGCCGATCTGCTTGCCGTGAAAAGCAAAAGCATGTCAGTCGAACCCACTTCACGCCCATCCCGGCCTCGCCCGGCTCGAGCGCATGGCCCACCTGGGAGGTCCCAACCACGTCCGGTGTGGATCCATGTCTTATCAAACCCAGAAGGGTCTATTTGTTGGTTCCTTTCGCCAGAAAGGGTCTAATGATGTCTAATGCCTTGAAGTGCATCAAATGAGGGTAATGTCCGAACCGGTCTTCCATACAGAACTCTTGTCATAGAGCCATGCATGGCTCCTGTCGATTCGGTCAGCATGCTAAGCTGAAAGGGTCATTGTGTTTCATATCTATCCCTGGTCAACCTCGTTATCGGGGAAAACAGAAGGAAATCCAAGCACTTTGAAAATCATCTTCTACGTCTTGTCTCGACGAGCGAGCACAAGCATCTAATTCCTGCAAAGCATTTGAAAAACATACCATTCAACAAGAACCCAACTCCTCAGACTCGAAGAAAATAAGCTCTGTCTTTGTGTTTGAACGCATGGTCTTTAGAAGACTAGACACTTGGGCGCCAACCAGCACACGGGTGGAAAAAAACATAAAACGAAACATGAATATTAGACACTCAGCCCATCCAGTTTCACCCCTCCAGACTTGAGGCCCTGACGGCAAACAGGCCAAGGAGGCCAAGGACGCCAAGGCGACCAAAGTACAACATCACACGTCCCCTTGGCGTGGCCTTTTTGAGTTGGAAAAAACACACCATCTCACGTCCGCCTGCAACTTGAACTAGGAACAAGGACGCTACTAGGGGCTCCTGGCCATACTACTAGGAACAAGAAGCTACCAGGAACAAAGGTAAACTGGGTCCCTTGGAAGAGGTTATACTTGCTTCTGACCCTCGAAGTTGTATTCGTTTCCGGACAAGGTTTTGCAAGACGCCACTGCTTATGCTGTCTGCGAGCAAAAGCCTACACAATGATTCACTCTATGATAACAAGCACTCATTCTCGGATTCTAGGCTCTGAGAAAAGGCGAGAAGCAAGAGAACCAGTACATGTTGGCTCTTGGACACTGGGCATCAGAAGTATCAAGAGCTGAGTGGCTCCTTTGTCCCCTTCTTCTCTCACACAAACACCCAATAGCACAGCAGACTCGTGCCAGCCAACAGGAATGTCTTGAACGGGTCACTCTATGCGATCCTCCAAAAACCCTCACCATGCGCGTTTCCGAGCAAATGTTGTGCTGGCTGGGGTCAGCTGTAGGGTCGACACTTGTTCAGCAATGTTTTCTCACATGTTGATGTTGGGGTGTTGAATGACTGGGACTTAGTGGGGGGTCGCTACTGACCACTAAATCCACCCCACCAATCTGTTCAGTGGTCAGTCCCTTCCTTCATGTGGCCACCGCTTCTTGAAGGCTGCCTTCGTTTGAGGGCGCTACTCGCTGCTGCTCCTATGCCCCCATGGCCTCATTCTCTCCAACCAAAGAATCAGTGGCCAAACTCAGGGGTTGATGTAGCCTTCACGAGCGTTCATTTCTCGTATAACCAATCTAGGAATCTAGGATTGCGAAATGTTGCACATGGTTGAACTTTGTTTGGAATGATACAGTTGAACTATTCCTTCAGGCACAACACTTGTAATCCTCTTCCCTCTTCCAATGGCACCCCCAGTGCGCAAAATGGACCCCTTTCTGCCGTTCCCACAGCAGTACCCAGCGTGAAGCCTGCTTTGATTGCAGCAAGATTGACCCAAACAAGTGATTGATTGAGAGCTGCACGTTGCACTTGCTCAGTACATAAACTATGCTTAGCGTTGTGTTTAAAAATCAATGACACGCTGTCTAATGCCTAGCTGCGCTGGTCTGTGACAAACCCTGAGACCGAGACCTAACAATGGTGATTGTGGAGCCTTCAAATCCATCTGCGTGACCAGGGGATGGTCTGCATGCTGCAAGATACAGTCACAGGGTCGACTGTGTCTAGGTTCGTCCATTTGACTGCTTGGCCACGCATTGCTTTGCAAACAAGCGCGGTGGAATGATTCTTCAAGCACAGCAGCGTCTGGTTTCAAGTTGCACCTATCACACCAGCAGCAATCTACAGGAAAGACCAGTCGTCATCCTCTTCGTAAGGCAATGTTTGATGATCTGCACAGTCAAACAGCCTGTTTGCCAAAGGCGTTCAAAGGCATGACTTCATGATTATTGGAGGAAGTGCACACGCGCAGCTTGGAAACAAATTCACACTTACGTCTTTCAAAGGTCGTCATTCGGCATTCACAACTCAGAACTCCTCGTAATTTGTTGGCTTGAAGGCTTGGTTTGAAATTCAGACACTCCCGTCATCTGGTAGTGCCTCACATGAAATTTTGAAACACGGATGTTCAAAGGCTTTGCGGCAGAATCTCAATAACGCAAGCAAAAATCTCAACGTGCTCCGGCCACTGAAACTTCCGTGAAGGGCATCTCCGCTTTGCCACTGCAAAGCAGCAAGGTCAAAAAGTCGTGGTCGCGCCACGCCCAAGCTTCGCATGAGCATCACACTTGTCTCAACAAAGCTGCCAACATAGTCAACACCGCATGGAGTATGTACAGCTTTGGAGTGCCAGCACCAAAATAGGTAACTTCGAAGCACTTCGGTCTCAAATGGTCTTAGAGATTTGGCGCTAATACTGCAAAGCCAAGGGAGCTGAAAGAGATCTTTGTTCCGATGATGATGCGGAAGCACTATTTTAGCAAGGCTTTTGCGCTGTGATGGCTGGCATACAACTTCTATCTGAAAACGAAGGTCGACAGGCCTTGGTTGGAACACACATCCACACTTTGCATGACCATCGCTTCTGACAAGACTTGTCTCGACGAAGGCACCTGGCAAGAGCCAGCTGGAAAAGATGTAAAATGACTGGGACACTATGTCAGCCTGGCAGATTTGAGAACGCACGCAGAAATCAGCCATGCATGTTTGACATGGCTTGGTCTCACTTAGCCAACAGACCCGAGGTTTTCTACAAATCTCAACAACTCATTGATATGGAGTGTGTCAGAAATCGAAATAAAACAACCGGTCTTCCTGAGTACTTGAATTCTGACACCCTTCTCACTTTCAAGTATACGCTGGCAGCTGCCAACGAAAAGGTAGATTGCATCGGAAGAGGAATGCATCAGTGTGGGCTACTGGGCGCGGGTTGCCGATTCTCGGTTATGCATACAGTAGACTTGGTTGCAATAGGTCTCTGATGCCAAACCAAAACTCACCTGGAGTATGATGGAATTATCATGCCAAACAAAATCTGGCCATCACCAGGCAGTCACCCTTTCAGG